CATTTCTTCATCCCGAGCCGGAGAGCCCGCCTTCACAGACAAACACGCAAAGACGAGCAGTGAGCGCTGCATCACCATCAAATCAAACGTATGTGATTTAAGAAAAGTTAGGAAACACCTTTGTATTCTTGTGTACCTTTCACTTGGTGGTAGAACTGTGTGGAATGTCTTCTACAGTAAGTGAACTCCAAAGTCTAAATCTTATAAAATCCTGGTTTTGGTTTGATTTGCAGTAAAGCACCTGCACTGGCATTGATTCATATATTAAATCATATTTACCTGAAATCCTTCCAGTAAAGCCAGTTTGAAGTTCTTGGAGAACTGGAACGTCTCCACTCAGCAACTGGGAGCCCTGTGCAGTATTGGTGTGACATTCAGTTTTGAAACGTTTAATTGACTTTAGGGTTAGGCTCAGTAATAGCATAAAGGTGAACATGTTCCCAACCTTTTTCCTCCCTCCTGTTTTTCAGGGCCATCTCTATGTACCTACGAGCTTGCCGATAGCGACCTGGCGTTTATCAAGAGAATGTGGACGGAACGCTTCCTCATCCAACCTGATACGACTCTCTCCTGGTCATCGTAGACTTCTCCTCTGAGGTCGACGGCTGCCCTCAGGGTCCACCGATGGAGCCCTGGGTAGTGGTGGACTGTTGTCCTCAGGTAATGATGACTCACACTCGCCTTCACATCCTACACACACACACAAACACACGTAGGACTTGTTGCAAATGTAATGTGCACATTTATTGGATCCTACCATGATTTTGTGGCAATAGATCCCACATGCAGAAAGATTATAAAGTTGTCGCCTTAACGTGTCTTTCCGAATTGGTCGTTATCTGTCAAGACGCTGATAACATCCAATCTTTTGTACTATAACGCAGTACAACTTAATCCACAAACCGTCACAGGCCTACACACACGCTCCCATGTTTTCAACCAGTTTGACCGTTAATTTCCTCTGGTAGGTGTGTCGTGTGCAGAAGAAACGGTACTGCGGCAGGACAAGGCCCATCGCTGAGCGCATCAAACCGTTCGATGATGAACAAGAATGGACACGGCCAAGGCCCTACTTGGAGCTGCAGCAGGGTGGGAGCCAGATGCCGCTCTTTCAGACCTTTTCAGCCGCATCGTGGAGAACGTCAACGTCATTATCTCCACCTATGGAGAGGATGAGAGCAGGGCCATGGGGAACATCAGGTGGTGATGGCTCCAACAACCCACTCCAGACACAATATATATGCTACAATAGCTGGGAAGAGGTTGCATTTCACTTCCTACAGCTGTCATTTCACCAGAATAATGGACTTTCTCCCCCCTCAGATTGACCCCCATTGTTTGGCAACAGTCGGGTTTGGCTCTGCCTCCATGGCCTGGGCGTTCTCCTGAAGCAGTTTGCTGAGATGTATGTGGCTAAGTTCACAGCAAAAGGAATCCGCAGAGCTGGGACCCAGCAGAGGAGGTGTAAGAAAGTGGAAGAACAGTGATGAACGAACTTGTGGGAGACAGGTAACATAATGATGATAAAACATAATCACAGACAGAAATTATTTTCCACATAATAAATCTACGACCATTTTGAAAAGCAGAGGTGTTGCAGCCACACCCGACAGTGCTGGTCACGTGTATACCAGACCACAACCCTGGAAGTACAACATCACATAAAGATAGTTTAAAGGTCCTTATTATACTCGTTTTTTATCAAATATTCATAGTTTCTAAGATATATAATATACAAAACATGTCTCTGAAGTGTTTGGTGCTTCGAAAATGCAAACAGATCATGCATTGTAGCATCCCATCAACCCCTCTGTTTCAGCCCTTTTTTTTAAAGTGCTGATTCTCTGTCTTTTGCTTTAGATGAAAATAAGGAGCCACTCCCCAACTCCTCTGGAAGATATTCGGTTAAAAAAAACAAAATAGTGCTCTAGGAGGAGATTCAGGCCCCGTCCACACGGAGACAGAACGGGTGTTATCCGCTATAGTTCTTTATCGTATGGACGGTTCGTCCACACGAGGCCGTAACAGAACCCCGGAAACGGAGCCCTCAAACGGTAACGCATCCCAAAGTGGGAAGGTCTGGTAACGTAACTCTTGCGGCACTGTGTGTCCGCCCTAAACGATCATAGCCCCGCCACTCCCCATCTCTCCTGCTCAGCCCCCGCGTCACCCACGTCATTGCTGATGCGTTTCGCCAACAACAATGGCGGATCACAGGGTTGCGTTCATGCTCCAGACACTACTGAACATGCTACAGATGTTAGTGCAAAATCTACAGCTCCTCCAACATAACCATCAGCAACAAGTGGACATGTAGTTCTCCGCTAAATCCACCGCTGAGAATAACCAGAAGGGCAACCAGGCAACCATGGCAACCATGCTCGGGGGGTCTTATTCGCTGCTTTTGGTGTATTTTGTGGCGGAAGTACAGCGCCACTTACAGGCCCGGCATATGTACAACAGCGTCTCCAGCGGGTCGAGCGGTCTCGTGTGGACGGACACGTTTCTTGTGCCGATTCAGTGTCGATGTAAGACTTTTTTTATATCGATCTCGGTTCGTTTTCGTCTCCGTGTGGACATGGCCTCAGGTCTTAAGGTGGGCGGGTGTTACCTTGGTTGGTTATTGGCTAATGGTTACATGAGCCAAAAAATCATTATGACATCATAAAGTGGCCAAAATCTGATCAGCTCATTTTCAGACAGGTTTTTATATCGGGAGAAAAAGAGAGGGAATCTTTTTTACTGAAACTTTCAGCGTCTCTTTGTGTTGATATATAAAATACATGAAAAAGTGGATTTTGCATAATAGGTGACCTTTAAAACCACTAGAAGTCAGCAAACCTAAATTTTCCACTGGTGGTCAATACCAAGAAATCCTCACGATGACTGGCATTTTTTACACGGCTTTTTTAAATATTCAAATCTGATAAGTAAATTACGGCAGCCGTCGTTGCTATGGATGCGGCTTTATCTCCAAACACAGCAAGCAGACTCTTAGCGGAATCAATAATCCAAATTTAAATCCAAATATTAATTTTGGGGTTGATTTCATCAGTAGCCGTGTAATAAGCAGGATAATGTACATTAAATAACCTTCAGGATGATTCTGCTTCACCTTGTTGTGGTTCATTTCACAATAATAACCTACCTGCTTCACTCCCCCCCTACATATACACAATAACAACAGGATTATGAGCTAGATGTCAATCATGTGATTGTCATGATGTTGTGCGATAATTTGTGCACAGATATTTTGACCCAAATGCCGGCAAGTTCAGTAAGTCTTCAACCGGTCCTGATGGCCAGAAACTTCCCCGCACCTTCTGCCAGCTCATTTTGGATCCCATCTTTAAGGTGAATGGAGAGAAAATAAGTGATACAAACCAAAAATAATCATGTTAATGTTTACCAAGTCAGGCCTTAATTTTTCTAAAGACCTTCATATATCTCTGTATTGTTCAAAATGAATTTCAAGCTTCTCCGTGTAGGAATTAAACATTTTGATCCTTGGCACCTTGTAGTGGTTCCATCAAAAATATGTTGTGGTAGACGGCAAATACAATCTGGGGAACACTATATAATCAGTGGCGTTTTCTCCTGGAGGCCAAGGGAAGCCAGGCTTCCCCTGTTTTTTCGGATTGTAGTTATAATTTTAATAAATAAATAAAAACACTTCGTTTAGTTTCGGAAATTCTTTGTTGTGTGTTGCTGCCGGCCCGTCTCTCCCCCATTCTCATTGAGTATTTTACAAAGAGTGAAACAGCGCCCCTCTAGATGTTATGGTGAAACAGTAGATTGCACTCTCTGTTGCGAGAGGAGGCCAGCCGAAATTTGCTTCCCTTGGTGAAAAAAAATGGAGGGATTGACCAATCAGATGAGGCTCACGTCATGCCCCTGCCAAGGGAAGCCAGAGGCGGCTGGCTTCCCTTGCCTCACAATCCAATCAGATCGCATCAATTTAGTGGTGCAGTGACGCGTCCCAAAAAGCGGAAGTAAGCTGCACTCGGTTTCCCGAGACAAAATAGCAATGGGATTTCTCCATAGGATTTAGGAAAATAGCTCGAAAAAAGGTCAGTGGAAAACGAACCTGTTAGGTAAATGCACGTTTTGTCAATTCGGCGAACATATAATACATTAAATGATCGTGAGGATGATGATTTAAAAATCGTTTGTTTGACCCGGTCTGCATTTCCTGATGAGAAAACAAACCGATGCTTTTTGTAGTTGTAGTACACCAACATGGATTAAACGTGTGGTTTTTTTACCACAATTTTGGGGAAATTAATGGATAAAATGCACGGATTATTATTATTATTCCCACTCCGATCGGAGACAGTGGTACCGTTAAGCTCCGACATTATCGGTCTTTTTTATCGGTACTGGAGACATTTAAAAAATATATGTCATATGTATTATTGCTACATAAACATTATATTGCAGTTTTAGTTTCGTCAACTCCGTTTCTAATATGCAATAAGACAACAAAATGCGTCTGATGTATTTTGATGTATTGCTAGTGTTACCCGGCCCCTTACATGCTAAACCTAATATTGGCAACTTTTGGTAACGAGGATTGTCCAACCCATCGAGAGGCGGGGTAAAAGTTTAAGCCACCACCTCCGGAGCGCCGTTTCTCTCCGCCAACTTCCAGCCGTGCGTCCCGTGTGTGTGTGTTCTGCCATGTAGCAGCTGCGTGTGTTTAAACTGGCCACGCCGCCTCGCCAAGCAGGCGGGGGATGAGAGATCTCTGCGTACTGGGTTGAAAGATGAAAAACTAAAAACACGCATTTTGCACGGCCTTTTTGGGCATTATAGAATAACGGAGTTGCCCCAACAGCTAAAACTGCAATATAATGTTTGTGTAGCAATAATACATATATTTTTTACCATGTCTCCAGTACCGATAAAAGCCGGGTTAACGTTGGAGCTTTAACGGTACCACGGTCTTTAATAATTTCGCCCCCGGGGCCCCCGTTTAATACGCGGGGCCGGATAGCCCCATCCCTACCACACCGGCCTGCTACATGCATGCAACCACACCCACACACAGCACAACAAAAACACACACCACACCACCACACCCACACACAGCACACCCACACACGCAGAGATGGCGGAGAGAAACTAAGCGCTCCAAGTGTGGTTTTCAACCTTACTCCGTGCTCGAATGTGGCTACAATGCTCTTGCAAAAGTGCAAATAAGAATTAGCCATGTAAGGGCGGTAAACACGAGCAATTTGTCTAACAACAACACATTAATGTCCCTTAATGTTTCCACGCAGGCAACGCTCAATCTTCCTCCAGAAGAACCGTTAGGTCCTTTTTGCAGCAATACCGTGTATGGCCCGCATCTGTGTTGCCGCTGTACCAACTGTATTTTGCAAGTAAATACTTATGTTTTTTTATTTGTGCTTTTACAGTTCTGTAAGGTTCACTTTATTTGCAATTTGTTTAGTTAATTAGCCTTTTTTTTCTCAAAAGAACCAAACAAAAGTAGTTTTGTTAAAGACCGGAAATCGATAAGCGGGATTAATCGATAAAAGTTAAGTAGTGGCCGTTAAAACCTTAAACGATAACGCATCCCTACTTAAGGGTGATGACTTAGAGGCGATACATGTGAAGGGGCCTAACTTTTTTGGCTCCAAATTTAATGGCCTTCTTTTGCCCCTCGTAGGTCTTTGATGCCATCCATGATTTCAAAGAAGGACGAGACCAGCCAAACTAATTGAGAGCTGGAACGTCAAACTGGAACTCTGATGACAAGGAGAAAGAGGGGAAGCCCCTGCTGAAGGCTGTGATGGCGTCGTCGGCGCCGCCGGAGAAGCCCTGCTGCAGTTGATCACCATC